TTTATATTAGCATTTACTACTCCCAATACAGTTTTGAAAATATTTTGACTCTTTTTGAGCTGTTTACGGACATTTTCAGTTTTTAATTTTTTTAGTTTTTTTTTCTATAAATATCAATAAAGTTTTATCTGTTGGGCCAAAAAGTGTAAAAATTGAATACAAGACTCCTGATATATTGTTACAATATCAGTTCAAAAACATTGAAAATACATATACACAATTTTTTTTTATAAGCATTTAAAGTTGGAATTTTGACAAAATGTATCAAAATCACGAAAATTATCAATCATTGTAATTAATAAATTATAAAATGTTAAGTTTTTATAGCTAAGGATTGCAAATTTAAAACAAAGGTTCTCATAAATAGTTCATACTGTATCCAAAAAATCTAAAAAATATATGAACACACTTATTTTTTACAGACATCTTAAATTCAAATTTGGACGAAATTACATATTAAAAAACCTAGAATAACTATTTTAGTTACTTTGTTGTAATTGAATAGGTAATATTATTCGTGGGTACATGAAACTTCTAAAGTGTACTATTATATATCTATGATAGTATCAGGGTTTGTTATTGATGTATAACGCGGTATAAGTACCTAATGGATATTGTCATATGATTAATTTAGAATTTTTTATAGATACCTATTATAGGTTAATTTTTTGTTTAATACCATAGATATGTTATAATATGTCTTATACCTAGACTGACATAGGTACCGTCTCCGCTCAGAATCGTTTTTCTTATACAATGATATTATATCATTGAATTCAAATTTAATACTATTCATTATACAGTGACAGACTTGTAACCTACTGTACAGTAGAGCGACACCCACTTGCCCACCTTTTTTTAAAAATTGACTTGACCACCTTCTTACAAAAACTGTTATGATATTGTAATGACATTTCGAAAAGTTTGCCAGTTCTTATATTATGGCAGAGTCTTGTATCTTCGTATATACTATATTATAGTATTTGACATTTGTATATAAGTATTAAAGTATTTGTATTATATATTTTTATCTTTTTGTCCACCATGAGACTATAAGACTATATCCTGAAAAAAAAATCCTAGTTGCAAAATATCGCCAAATCGGTTATAAAATGAAAACTAACTTAATAAGTTCTTCTCATACACGCACAACAAGTACCCAACTTGTTAATTTTACAATTACCTACATGTTATCAGAAAACTAAAAGTAACACATAATATGTTACAAAGTTATTACATTTTGGTGTATAGATGCATTTAGATTACAGTGTTGGGAAAGTTGCTTTTAAAAAAGAACTCGTTAGTTTTTATTTATAAAAATATGTGGAAATACTTCGTAAATATACTCATTTTTTTCTAATAATATTTTCTATATTCTAAGAACTTATAACTTATATAAATTATATTTGAATAGTATGGAAATTAATAATAATAATAATATTTATTTAGCAAACAAACAAAATAAAACAATATTAACAAACAAATTATGGTAGGTTTGCAAGCTCATCCAATAAGCATAGATATGCTTGTAGACGGATGAGCTGGGTTCATGTTATGAATATTATAAAAGTATACAAATAAAATAAAAAAAGAAAGAAAAAAGTTCAACATTAAGAGTAGTTACTTAAAATTATCATTGAACTAAAAAGTGGACATTTACAACCAAGATAAAATAGTGTTAATATGTTTCTTATACTTATTAAAATTATCAAAATTAGTTAAATTAATATTATATTTACGAAGTAACAGAATTACTTTAATCATTGGACTTTGTGTTCCAAAATTAGTACCTATTATTTCGTGGAATAATTAAATTACAATTGTTTTTTATTCTAGTATTATAACAATGCAAAGGCTGAAATGGTCCTATATTTACTTTAAATATATACAATAAAATCGTGACTATGAAAATTTATATAAAACAGCTAATGACTGTCTATCTGTAGTAAAAGACTGGTGTGACAATAATAATTTACAGCTAAATTTATCTAAATCTAAATATATTGTCTTTAATATTACAAATCGTTCACATATTAAAAATACTGATTTTTCACTGTGTGTACACTCTTATAAATGAAAATATCTAGATAACCCTTGTGAGTGCTTACCTTTGGATAGAGTTTATTGTATTAAATATCTTGGAGTAAAATTAGACCATAGACTTGATTCATAAACTTGAAAAATAGTTCTAACTTTCAACTCTAAGTAAATTAAACAAGTTGGATACAATTTTGGTTTTCCAAGTATAGTTTTAATCATTAAATTAATTGTAGTAGATAAAACATTTATATGTGTGGAGTATGTACATCCCCATATTGAAATACCGTACAAGAAAACAGATTGTACAAGAGCTAAATAGATAATTCAAAGAGTTTTAATACCAACATATTTTTGAGCAATCAGAACTTATATAATAATCTTCTAAGAATACTATTTACATGATAAATATGTTCAATAAATTTTAGTCTATGGTCTAATTTTACTCCAAGATATTTAATACAATAAACTCTATCCAAAGGTAAGCACTCACAAGGGTTATCTAGATATTTTCATTTATAAGAGTGTACACACAGTGAAAAATCAGTATTTTTAATATGTGAACGATTTGTAATATTAAAGACAATATATTTAGATTTAGATAAATTTAGCTGTAAATTATTATTGTCACACCAGTCTTTTACTACAGATAGACAGTCATTAGCTGTTTTATATAAATTTTCATAGTCATAAGTCATAACTTTTAATCAGAATAACTGTATCGTCTGCATAACAAAAAATTTCAGCATTAAGCTTTATATTTAAAAGTCCGTTTATGTATATGATGAATAAGACAGGGCCAAGTACTATACCTTGAGGTACTGAGAAACAATTTGTTTTTACATCACTAAGTAATTCGTTTATTCTTACTTGTTGAGGTCTGCCAGAGATAAATGATTTAATTAAATTGAGAGCATTGCCTCTTATACCATTATATTCTAATTTTTTAAGTAGGTAACAAATTATGACTTACGGAGTCAAAAGCTTTTTTAAAATCGAGAAAAATTCCAAGATCTTTAAATTTGTTATCTAAATTATTATGAATAAAATCAGAAGTTTTAGATAAAGGATCAGTAGTTGACATATTTGAGCGAAAACCAAATTGATTTGATGAAAAAAAATTATGTTTGTCCAAAAACGACATTAATCTTGATTTTATACATTTCTCAAATATTTTTGAAACTGTTAAAGTTAAAGCAATAGGTCTGTAATTTCCACATTGTTTTCTATCACCAGATTTAAAAAGTGGTATGATTATAGTATTTTTGTAGCTAGAAGGAAATTTACCTGTACTAAACGATTTATTAAAAATAATTGACAATGGAAGTGAGATAGAATCAGCTGTTTTCTTTAAAATAAAGTTCGATAAACCGTTATTATAAAATGAGGATTTATCTGGTATTTTCTTTATAGGTAAACCTAGAAATTTCTGAAGGATCAATCTGATCCAGGAGAATTGAATTATTAATATGGCAGTTTTTATTCATATCATTCCAATTTAGTTTTTCAAAATTATTTATTTGAATATCGTCAAAAATATTTTTACCGACATTAACATAATAATCATTTGGTTAATTTAAAATGTTAATTTTATCAGTTAAAAGAGATTTAGTAGAACTATTTTCAATACAATATATAGGAGTTTCCTCGTTTTTCGTTGAATATGTTGCTTCATTTATTAATTTCCATGTATTTTTAATATTGTTATTAGATAAATAAAATTGGTTTTTGTAATATAAAATACGAGATTTTCTGATTAATGAATTTAATAAATTCCTATATTTAATGTAATGTTTTTTTAGTGTAATATCAAAAGGAGCTTTTTGTTTTTTTAAATATTATTTATGTCTATTATTAATTGAGACCAGAAGTCCGTTAGTAATCCAAGCTTTATATTTTTGTGATTTTTTTAATTTATTTTTGGATACAATACATTTTTTAGAAGAACTGACAATAAATTCATTTATTTTACTATTAAATTTATCTATTAAAATATCAACATCACAGTCTAAAAGAAAGTTGTACCAATTAAATGAAAATAATAAATTATTTAGGTAAGAAAAATTACATTTAAGTTTGTTAACATTTTTAAGTGTATCATTATTAATATTACCTTTTTCAATAAAATTATCATTGTTGATGCTAATAGCTAAACTATAGTGATCTGTTATATCAGTTTTAACAATGTACGAGGACAAATTTGAAATATCATTTATAAAAATATGGTCTATACACGAGTTTGATTGATCAGTTACTCTCGTATAGTTATTAATACAAGATACAAAACCATATGAGGCTAAGATATTTAAGTAGGTAATCAGAAACGTCACCAGTATTATCCAATATATTGATATTCTTATCACCACACAAAATAATTTTATAATTACCATGAATATTAGACAAATAATGATCTAAACCAACCAAAAAACTATTTACAGTTAGGGAAGGCGATCTATATAAACCAATTACTTTATATGATTTTAGGTTATAATTAAAAGTTAGTTCTAAAGAATTACATCCCTGTATTACATTTAAAATAACATCATTAATAATTATATTATCAGCTTTTATAAAAATTGAGACAAAATCTGCTTTATTTAGTGTGCCTAAAGAATGAAAATATTTATAACCATCAATGCATATATTTAAGTTATCATTTAGCCAAGTTTCAGCTAGAACTATTATATCAAATATATGGGAGGTAGTTTTTAAGTAAACCAAAAGTTCATCAATGTGTAAAACTAAACTACGAATATTACAGTAAAAAATAGAAAAATCATTTTTGTTGAAATTAATATCAGATAAATTACTAACAATACTTGCGGAAATGTTATCAGCGTTAGTAATTTCTTTCACAATGTTATTTGATGATAACCATATATAAATAACATATAATTATTACAAATTAAAATTTTAACATGAAAAATAGAAGGGAAGGAGAAAACAAAATGTGTAAATCTAAATCACCAAAGTTGAGTAACGCTTTTCTCCTTGTCCAATTTTTTTAGTTGATTGATAGATATGATTTTTATAAATCTACTTCCTTCGTCACGTTTGATGAAGACACCAGAATGATTTGCCCATGAAAAACGATAGTTATAATTTTTTGAAACTAATCTAGCCAACCAGAAAAGGTGTTTATTGTCTTTTGTTAATTGATCATTTATGTACACATTATTCTTAGCAAATGATGTATGGATTTCATTAGCCAAAAGCCCATTTTGATTTAAAGCACGTAGTTTTATTGCTTTAATTAACTCCAATTTAGTGCTAGTATTATCAAAATTAACGATAATACTAGGGCAGTTCATCTTATTTTTATTTAATGTCATTCTATAGGCCTTAATCACCTTTTTATCATCAAGCTCGATATTTAATTTGTTAGATATGATTTTTATTATCTCAAAGGTGTTTTCATTGTCTGTCATTGGAATACCGGTTATTTCGATATTATTGACGAGTTTATCTTGTTCCAAAAAATTAATATTTGAGTGAAGTTTTTCCATTTCCAATTCTAAGTTTAAGCATCTCGATTCAGTCTTAGATATTCTATTTCCTTGTTCACTGATAGAATTAGATAATTTATTAAGTGTACTATCAAAACTATCCACTTTATCCGAACAGTAATTGACTGACTTTTCTAATTCCGAATTAGACTTAGTAAGCATATTAAGTTTGCAAATAATTTCATCCAAAGTAGATTTTATATTATTTATACTACTTACATACAAGATTACTGTATGAATCTGGGCTTGACGAAATGTTTGAATTATGATTTTTTTCTCACTGTGAGATTTTTACTTTGGCAGTCAGAACAGGTCCACGGTTTATTTTCTTGTTTCATTTTATTAAAGTTAGTTAAAGATTTTAACTCCGTACATGTAGGATGAAAACCTCTTGAACAGGAACGGCATGAGACAGTTTTCGCAGGAGATAAAGCATTATAACATATACCTATTGCAGGAGGTCCCAGATATAATTAAGATAAGAGAGCACTTATACAAATACCAAATCAACGTCTATAACGTATGAAAGCACAACACAAACTTCCAAATGAACTTAATAATTGTTAATATTATAAATAACAAAAGTTGATTTTAAGTTAACGTACATACAAATGAGTTAACGCGGGCTGAGAATGAAAAGGTTCTATGTCAGAATATCAAATTGTTCAGCAGAGCGATTTTTAACTTTAATACCCAATATCTTTTTTTCTGTTCATTTTATGAATATCACTATAATTTTAATAAATAAATTAATACATTTACTGTCAGATACATTGTGAGTATTAAGTATTGGACAACCACACATTTTATAAAAACCAAAAAACTGGGAAAAAGTATATAAGAAGATTATAATAACATTTCTTCATGATTAACTCAAATGATATTTAGACGTTTGGATTGCCAAAACCAAGAAATGGTTAAGGTTGTAAAGACATACATCTTACAAATGATATTCATAAGAATAAAGTTTGAAAATCAAAATAGAAAAAAAAATTTAGAAAATAGGAAGCTATCCAAAAAAATGAAAAAAATGATTAAATAAAGATTTGTTTTGCTTTAAATATTTATTTCATTTTTAGTCATGCTTTTTCTTCACTAGTTATTAGCTATTATGTATGACTATTTGCCTACATTAATCTTGTTTTTTTACAATTTTTTTTTTTATTATTGATCTTTAAAGTTCGGCGACTATGACCATTAGCTGATTGTGGGGTTTTTATGATTTGTAGGTAGGTAGTAGGGTTTGTATTGGTAGGGTTTTTACACGTGTGTGTTGTGTTTGGCAGAATTTTTGATTGGGCACCCGTAGGTATATCTGCCATGCCCGGGTGGGGGATGGCGGCACTTGTTCTCCGGACACTGTGACTTGAACGGAGAAAAATGCCACCAGGTGGTCGAGAATCGAAACAATTTTATTTAAGACAATAAACAAATAAAATTATGTTGATAAAAATAAGCTTCAGCAACAATTGTAATTTGCTTTATCATATCTACATATTATTATAATATTAGTTTTTTTTTTACAACACCTAATTACCTATGCAATATAGTATAGAACACCTATTGCAACTTGCAACTTGTCTAAAACCTAGATTGTATTAGTAAATTGTAGGCAGAGTTCTAAAAGTTATAACGGATATACAATTGTAGGTAAGAGGTATGGGGGATAGAAACAAAAAACATTATTAAATCCCTAAATAACTATATTCTAATCTGAAATTTAAAATAAATATATTTCTAAAAATATTTTATGAATTATGGAATGCAGAAAATTTTAATTTAATTTAAAAAAAATAGTAATGAATAATAATTAGGTAGATATAACTAAGTATATAAGTACTAAATTAAAAGTTTTGATTACTTCTGCCGATTAGTTTTTTCTCACTATCGTTGAATACGATATACGGTTCTATACAAACCATGTTAAAACTAATTTTTTAATTAATAAATTGATAAACTTTTTGTTTTAATATTAGAGTTTTATTCATAGGCAATTCGTAGACCTGCATTTTGGGTGTAGCCTACTGTATTTTTAGACCTCTCTTTTTTTATTTCGGCCCTACTAACAATGTATACAAACTTTGATAATATTAAATTATTTTTCATCAACCTAATTGAATTATTATTATTAATTATAATATAATTTTTTAAGAGATATGCAATGATGTTTTAAAAATATTTTGATAAATTTTAAATTATTTAAAATTTTTGTTTATTTTTTTTGTAGTGGTTTTACAATGTTTGAAAAATGCCTATTGCCTAGTAATTTAATTAAATGTTCTTCATAATTTTGAAATGGAAAAATATACCTAAATTCACTACAATAGGGGCCAGTTCTAAAGACTTAATTGTGGGGAGGGGGGGCCATAATTTTCACAAATGAATAATGATTATTCGGTGACGACAAAAACTATATCTCAATAATCAGTTATGTGGTCACTTACATTAGGAACCAGGAGTTAGAAAGTGTATGTATATCATTGTGTTTTTTAGTATTTAAAAGTATAACGTCATTCTGTGTGGTACAAAGTAAATAGGTACATTTTTAAAAAGTACATATTTTATTTATATTATATTTACATATACCAATTCGAGCTCTAATGTAGTGCCAAAACTAGATTTTATTGGATTAAATTAATTTAATCAAATCAACTCTACATATCAGATGGTAATTTCCTTTTTTTCACTGGGTTTGACAAATATTTTGGACCCGGAAATATACTTGGAACAGCATCATGAGCAAGCTTTGCTCGTTTTAAATTTATCTATAAAAACGTTTAAGACATTTTTATATAAAAAAAAATTCATGAAACAAAGGATAAGTTACAGTAGCTAGGTAATACCGTGACTTTTGAAGCAGATTCCAAGTTCTAACAATTTGATCAGGTGTAAAATGTTTTTCACAAATCACTATCTTTGAGTTGACAACAAGATTAGCACGAGGAATAGATTTTTCCCATTTTTCCCTCAAAATTTCATTTTTAGAAAATTGAAACAGTGAAACTTTTTCTGGGTTTGATTTATATCCTGACGTACAAAACACAACACAGCAAGAAGATGGCATGTTTTGATAATTCGGAAATAAATAATAATATAATAAAATAATAACGTATGTCAGACGTATGACCCCACTATGACAATAATATTAAATATTAATAATATATTATACGATTCGTCTTCACAAATCACAATAGATGATTTATATTTATGACAATATGACGACAACGAACAATTCGTTTAGAGCCCGGTTAACTAGCAGCGCCTACCTAGTGGTAAATAGCCGAACTATATCACCGTAACAATTTCTGACCGCGGTTGTGCCATACAAACTTTATACCGACGCATAACCTGTTCTTTATAATCGTGCAAATATCACATAAATCTAACTGATATCGTTTATGTTTACAATTTTTATATGCTGATAACTGATACGAATAAATGAAGGTGTTCTGAAATAATGCGATTTTTACCGATTTCAGGTAGCAGACTGTAAAGCCGCAGTTAGTTATGTTGAAAGCATACCTATTTATTTTGTCATGTATAAAACGGTATTTCCAATAATTTTCCATTGATTTGACAACCACTATCGAAAAATTCCGCTTGGCGCATCATGGTCGCGCTCATTTTTCGTGTCCGCGACAATTACCTTTAGGCCGACGTGCACGATTAAAGATATACAGGTTGCACATCGCCCTATAGTAAACCGCTACCAGACTGATTTACAAAGTGACTATAAAAATCAGCTGTTAATAATTAACTAGTGGCGCTTAATGTCAACACTCAACCATATGTGTCGACATTTAGAACTAATTTTACACCTATATATCTATAATTGGTTAATTGTAATACTGCCGCTTGGAGCGCCACTGGTTAATTATTGGTAGTCATTTCGTATTTCACCTTATCAGTAGTCGATGTGCAACCTGTATATCTTTAATCGTGCCGACGTGGCAACGTGTAAATACGCTCCCAGCGGATTTTGCCGACGGCGAAAGTATGCAATAATCAAGTGGATAATGAATCATCGTTTTATACGGCTGATACTAACAAATACATAGGCGACAACTGTTCATGTCTTACATTTCATCTATTCTTCATTCCTGTCGTGAAAACGTGATGTGTAAACTGTAAGTTAGCACTTCAGAGGATCAAAATCATTGGCAATGACAAACTAACCGATCTTTTCTTCCAAGTCAGACTTCATCGTGGCAATAGCGTCATTGCAATACACCAACGAACCCTTTTTTTCACGATAGTGGAAACTAGAAAATCATCGAAAATGTCCAACATTTGTATTCTGTGTATGAAAAGAGTTCCTAAGTATTCAATCTCCAAGATTTCTGTACACGTGTAAGTCTCGTAAATAATTAACCTAGCGTACTGGGACAAAAATAATCCAGTCTAATCGTTGTATTTTATTTTGTGTTAGATTTCCATCGTGTCCAAAAAAACGGCAGATCTGGCTCAACCAGTGTAAATTAGCCAATGAAGAAGTCTTACGAAATCATAAAATATGTTCATTTCACTTTGAGCCAAGTTGTTTCAAAACTGGTTTAAAGAGGCGTTTACTTAATCGTGATGCTGTACCAACAATTTTTGGAAAAGACCTTGTTAAAACAACAAATCTGCCATTAAAAAACGTGAAAGGTTTAAACATATTTTCTACCAATAATTAGTGTTAATAAGTTAATGAGTCCCTACCAATGAAGTTTATGTACCAATAGCTATAGGTATAAGTAGGTATTCTCAGCAATTATAGTACTATTACTATACTCCGTGCCACTAGAGAAGTAATCCGCTACTGGCATGCAGACTAATGACCTTACCGAGGCCCCGTTTCTCCCACTTTACTACACGATATATACTAATAGTATTACTATATAACGTTGCCGACTGTTGATTTTCGTGCAATGTTGACATCTCAAATAGGTGAGGGATGCGCGGATTCGACCGCAATTTGGTTGGGAAACCGGTTACTTCTCTCGTGGCACGTTAGACGCATCTATGGTGTCCAACTAAGGCGATAGCGGCACAATTAAACTTCAGCCCAATCAAAGTCTACTTCTTTTTTAACAACTAAATACTTATGTGCAGCGGTATTCTATATAGTTTTATAAATACAGCAGGCACGGCTCTAGAACTTTTTTCCAGGGGGGCAGAGTGGGGCAAATATTTTTTTTATATAGGATAAGGTTTTTCAACAAACGCTCAGGTTAATAAATAATTATTATTGATCATTATTTACGAGAAACAATAATATTGTGTATTTTTGTCAACAGTTTTCTCTATCATTTCTGTAATTAATTTTGTTTAAAAATGTATGTTTTGAACTAGGTACCTATTTGAGATAAATGTGAATTCAACACTTCAATATTATTAAATCAAATACAATATTATTACAATTATTATTGTGTGGAAGTATAAAAAAAATAAATTTGTTCCAAAGATGGGCATCACTGGAACTCTCCTTCACTTAACTCACGGGCTTAGGTAGGATTGTTGCTCGACAAAAGGAGAAAAAGTAGGTCTTGAATGTGTTCACCGTTTAAGAGGTTTCATACCATTCAAAAGGATTAAAAGTATTTCTGAGCATTCTAGAAATTAAAATTATACTCTATAATTTATGTAGGATAATTTTCTTTATTAAATCTATATTTTAAAATGCATGTTATATTATTATTACTTAAAGTTATTAAAAAGTTAATTATTTACTGCCTTTTAACATTAAAATTCTTCATTTTTTCTTTTCTTTATACATCATTTATAAAATTAGCCATCATATTTTATTTATATATTTATATAACCTATATCTAAAACTTATTTTTATTATTATTAATTTATTATTGATAACAAATTTAAATAAACTTTCAACATAGAAAATAATACTGCCTATTAATTACTAATTTTTTGTGATTAAAACATTTTAACTACTCTTTAGTTAGAGTCTAACTGCGGCTACACCCGCATACGTTCTCTCTGTCTTACAAACGCATAACATAGCAAACTGTACTCTCGGCAGAAACGCTTGGCTCTTTTAGTTTCAAAGTTAGAGAGATTTGACCTTTTATAAAATTTAAAGGTAAGATTATTATCTAGTGAACCTCATAGAGTATTTTTATATTTTAATTTTAAAGCAAGTTATGAGTATTCTAAAATTGTAAATTATTTGTGCATTTTAAAATACTCATCAACTTGCTTTAAAATTAAAATTTTACTGTTCTCTGGAAAATTATATACTCAAATTTCTTTTGTGATAGCAATAGATTAAATTCTTCTTTGTTTAAAGTATCGACCACAATATAGGACACAGTGTACATTTTTGAACAAGTTCTTGTTTAAATTATAAAAATACCACATCTTTCCAAACCGGGAGATTACAAAATAGCTACCTAAATCGACTTCTTCGATTTGCCTTAGTAAATTTAAATTGATTTTGTTTATTTCGGGACCAACATTTTTATTGAGATATAATATGTTAGTTAATAACTTGCTGTTCTTGAAAAGAAAGTTGAAACTTTGTTTCTTTTATTTATCAAAACATTATTAAATTTATGTTTACTTACAATAAAATGTTCTCCTATTCTATTCTTTATATAACTATGCTGTTATTCTTGTAATTTCGTGCTTAACTTATATATGATTCTTAATGTATATATTCTTCAGCAACTTTTAATATTACAAATAAATTATGATTGACTCCAAATAATTTTGAATACATAAAAGATTATTATTACTTATATCAAAGTTTACCAAAATGTGGGGCTGTCTCGGAGTTCAGGTGCGTTTGATATTAATCTCAAGAACTGCAAACCATGTGTCTGATATAAAACGTGGTACACTCTATAACTCAGTTACCTACATATTTCAGTACCCTATACATATTTTAAAATTCTGTCTGCTGGAGATTGATGATCTAATAGTATAGTTTCATGTCCCTAAAACATAATTAAAATATATGTATAGGGTACTGAATAATACAGGTAATTTAATTATACAGTGTACCCTTCTTTCGAGAACACTATGTAAATATTATTACATATTATTACTATTAAATATATTATTATTTCTATATTTATGTATTTATTTATATTTTAATAAAATATAAAAAATTATGTGGTTGGCGACATATTACTATGAAGTATAAGAAACAGAAAAGTGCAATAGACTATGTACTAAAAGAATACCTCTAATAATATTATAATGATTATACAATTATAATAAATGTTAATGTCAAAAATTAGTTCAATCTACCATATTTCTGATAGTAAATAACAATTTAAATACAATAAAATAAAAATTAGATCAAAATAATAATTCTCAGTCAAATAAACGTATAGTAACATAATATGATTATGTAGTAGACTACCTATTGCCGAAGGTGACAACCAGTGTAGAATATCCTCCCTATGTAAAAGGCGAGATTACATTGATTGTTTATTTTTATATAAACTGTTGATTGTCCTGAGCTCTTGAGTCTCATTGGTCTTAGAGCCTCACCAGTCAACACTAACCGTAATACCCTATCATATTGCACCAAGTAATTGTAATTTTGTTTTCAATAGTCCCATCAGTAGAATTTTACATTACTGTAACAAACATCTATCTTATTTTCATTAAATTTTTTTTTTTTATAATAGTTGTAAGTTGATAAAATTTATACTTTTTTAGCACATTTCTATATTATATTATTTCCATCCTATGTTATATTTACTCTACTCTGCCCTTGGGGCGTTAATATCAATAAATAAAATTAACTTAAACTTATTTTAAGATATTCTTAGAAGTATAGACTAATAAATACAATATAATCTGCTTAGAATCATTTTTTTTTATGTATGCAATGATAAATTATTGAATTCAAATTTAACACATACATTACAGTCAATGATCCCTTTTTCATTTTTGTTACAATAGTTATAATTTTTAAAAAAGGCTATGCTAAAATCACAAAATATATGCTGCTAGAAAATGTGAAAGGTAATATATTTTTCTTCCAGATTTTATGGTTAGTTAGTTGACCAACTATAGACACTACTAATGAAGTTTTTGTGACAATAGTGAATATTCATTATTAGGTACAACTTAATCTTAGAATTAAGTGGTTTCACAATGATATTTATTATTTTTTTTTTATCCTGTAAGCAATAAACTACACTTTGATTTAAACATGTAGTATCTTATATTTTAGCAGATTTTTTACCAATAATATGCCTTAAATTACAAAAACAGTTTATGAATGAGTTTTACTAAATAATCTATGTTTTTTAAATTTTAATTTTGAGTAAATATACACTATATAGCCCCAAATATTTAATATAATTAACATTTTCAATGCTTACACACGAGCAATTTAATTTATTTGAATCACGACATTGTGACGAATGATCGAAAATATTTAAATTGTTTTGAATTATAATATTTTGTATATTAAACACCATAATATGTTTAGTTTTATTTAAATTAAGTTTGAGTAAATTATTATTAAACCATGATTTAAATGTGGTAAATATTTTATTTGCCTTATTATATAGATTTTCAATATTTTTATCATGGAGTAGAATTACTGTGTCATCTGCAAAACATATCATAAATTCCGCTTCTACATTAATATTTAATAACCCATTTATACATAGTATAAATAATATCGACCAAGTAAAGTTCTTTGTGGTACTCCATGGTTAACTATTAAAGAATGACTAAGATTATTATTAAATTTTAGGATTTGGTGTCTTTCATTATGGTATGAGCTAATTAAATTATTGGCAATACCTCTTATTTCAGCATAATTAAATTGTTTAAGTAATAGTTTCTGATTTATACAATCAAAGGCATTTCTAATGTCTTAAAAGATACCCATTACTTTCTCACTTCTACCTAACCTTTCATATATATATATATACAGTAGATGCCGCTTATAAGACTCACGGATATAAGGTTCAGTCGCTTATTAGACTCAAAATCGTCTGGAACGGTCCAGACGTATCCAAATACATTAAAAAAAATCGGTTATAAGACTCAACACTTCGGTTATAAGACTCAAATTTCGTAAAATAAATAGTAGAAAATAAACTTTTTTGGTTATAATTTAGAAATAAATTGGTATTGAAAAATTAAATAATATTCGTGTTGATTATTTCTAGTTTCTGGTGGTACATTTTAACGTATAATAAAAATAAATAATAAATACATTATAATATGTACATACATCCTTTATAATTTTTTATTAATGTATAATTTTTATAATATTTAAAAAACTAAAATTATAATATGTAAATATTACATATAAACCTATTATAATTTTAGTTTTTTTTTTATCAGGATTATTAAATTTATTCAATAATAAAGTATGTAATATGTAATATGTGTTAAAGTATTAAAATCAAAGCAAAATATGTAGTAAAATAAAATTTATAAATACGTAATTAATTTTTTTTTCCACTTCGCCTATAAGATTCATTCGGACATCCTCTTAACAGTTTTCTGCTGAAATTAGTTAGGGGTATTGTATAAATATAATAGAAATATAACTTACTATATTATAATAAATGGCTGCTAATATAATTGTAGGACATGTGATACCTAGTGGCTAGTACATAAAATATAACATAATTTTGCTGTAGAAAATAATAGTCAAATTTAAAATAGAATTATCACTTGATACTCTTGTAAAGTAGATAATAAACCAAAATAAAGTTACCTATTTTTCTGTTTTAGGAAAACCAAAAAATATGATCAAGGACAGGATTGCCGTCCAGCATCGTCATATTTCATCAACTAAAGCTATTAAAAATGGGATTGCTTTTCATAATCTTCGATCTCATGATATTTCATTAGGAGCTGCTAAGAAAGTGATTGCCAGTCAGAATCGTCAATCACTTGATATTTCACCTTCAAAAGTGGCTAGTAAAAGGATTTCCCGTCAGAATAGTGAGCCTCGTGATATTCCATTGACAAGATTAGCTAAAAAAATGTTAGCTGAGAAGAATTGTCAGTCTTGTGGTTTTTCAAAAATGGAAGATATTAAAAAAAAAATGTATGCCCAAAAACATGAATCTTGTCATGTTCCATTAACAAGAGTTCTGAGTAAAGAGATTTCTGGTCGGAATCGGGAGTCTTGTCATTTATCATTAACAGAAGCTACTGAAAAATTGATTGCCTGTAAGAATCATCATTCTCATGATATTTTACCGGTAAAAACTGTTAAAAAAGGGATTCCCAGTCAGAATACTCGGTCTCGTAATATTTCACAGAAAATAACTCCTAAGAAAGTGATTTCCAGTCGGAATAGTCAGTCTCATGATATGTCATCTACAAAAACTGCTAAGAAAGTGATTTCAAGTCGGAATAGTCAGTGTCATAATATTTCACCGAAAAAAACTGTTGAAAAAGGGATTCCCAGTCAGAATACTAGGTCTCTTAATATTTCACAGACAATAACTCCTAAGAAAGTGATTCCCAGTCGGCATAGTCAGTCTCATGATATTTCACCGAAAAAAACTGTTGAAAAAGGGATTCCCAGTCAGAATACTAGGTCTCTTAATATTTCACAGACAATAACTCCTAAGAAAGTGATTCCCAGTCAGCATAGTCAGTCTCATGATATTTCACCGAAAAAAACTGTTGAAAAATGGATTTCCAGTCAGAATACTCTGTCTCGTAATATTTCACAGACAATAACTACTAAGAAAGTGATTCCCTGTCGGAATAGTCAGTCTCATGATATTTCACTGAAAAAAACTGTTGAAAAAGGGATTCCCAATCAGAAAACTCGGTCTTATGATATTTCGCCGACAATAACTGCTGAAAAAGTTACTTCCAGTAGGAATAGTCAGTCTTGTGATACTCCACTGACAAAAGGTATTCATAAAATGAAATCCGGTCAGAACCATGTGTCTCATGGTAAATTGCCAACAGGAGTTTTTGAACCAGGATTATTTAAACGTTCAATGAGTATTGTAGAATATTATAAAAGACAACTTGATTTGCAAAATGAAACTATCGCGGAATTAGAAAAGGAAAAGGCATCACTTACATCTCAATTGGAAATTGCAATGAATAAAAGCTTATTGGCTAAGATTGCAAAGCGATTTGCACCCGTTAGTTAGATTTAATAATCTATATCAATAATTAAGAAACAGTAAAAGCTGCTTTTTACTAATTCTGCTCTAAGTGATAAATATTTTATAATACAAGACATTATATTGTATTGTATTTAATTGTTATAGAAAAAAATATTAATATTTTGAATAATTATTTTAATACAAGATAATATCATGTTGCTTTTAGTTTGACATCCAAATATTATAAGGCCAGTTTTATAGAACAAATGTTTTGAGACTTCAAAATACTAGTTCAGTAAAATGAATTAGTTAATGTAAATTATAAAGTTTAAGTTGTAGCTATAATTCAATTTTTTTTTCAATTTTCAAAGAAAATGTTCTGTTAGTTTTGTTAATATTAAATATAAAAACAAATTAATTAATGTATTTTTTTTTTTTTTTTATAATTTTTTAATTAAATATTTATTTATTTAATTAATATTATTTGTTTAATTTTTAATACCTTTAAGAAAAATAGTATTATAAATTGAGAACAATTTTAAACAACCTTGAAAATATTTACCTCTTATTCAATCGTCCATGATGTGAAAATTGGTATTTAGATTGTTCACTAAACCAGTTCAATGTGAACTTCAATGGCACAATGGCCCTTGACAATTATAATTTATAATAAACATACTCGTCTGAATATCAGTTCATCAAAGATATTTTTTTTGAATACTTGTGAATAATATGTAATTTTTAACTTTTAGTCTTCTAATGATAGAACTTCAATTCTTAAAAATATTGTGGAAAAGGATTTAAACAATGCTTATATACTTAACTTTTACAAAAGGCTATTTTTTAGTGGCACGCTAAGACGACAATCATAGATACTATATATGTACATGGATGGGACATACTATGTATTTAAGTGTAATCGAAGATCATACTTTTTTAAATACATAACAAATAATAGTTTTATTACGATTTTAATAGATTTTGTAGTAAATATGTCGCGTATTTTACGTTATAACTTATTGGTGACCTGGAGTACTTTTCGTACGATTGTTTGATCTCCTATATGTATACCTATACGTATTAATACAATGTTTTAAATAGTTTTGATTATAATAAAATATATTGATGTAATTAGGTACCTATATTTAATTAAAACATAATTTAGGAAGTTGATTGTTATTTGTTGTACTTACATATTATAATATCTTTTAAATAAGGACTATATTATGTAATTATTCACATTATTTAATTATTGTTGCAATTTCCAGTACAGTATGTAGTATGTACCTATGTAAAAAAACCGACAGTATACACTTAACATGTTCATCGTTTATAACATAATATATAATATTATAATCTATATAAATTAAAATTAAATTATGTAATTACCTACACATGTGCAGAACACTTTTGATTGAGCTATTATAGTTGATTAAAATACACCATTTAGATTAATTACAATTTATTGTAATTAATAACTTAAATTAATGCTAGTATGCTTGGAAAATGCTGATAACCAACGTATAATATTATAATGTATAGGATCGCAGTGGTTAACCAGGCCTAACAGATTATCAAAAAGCAGTAGGCAAGTTGATTATAAAAATTATATTTTTGGTAACATTATAAATGAACACTATTATCGTATTATAGCATTATATGCATATATTATTTAAGGACTACGGCAAGACATAAATAACAGTTTTCGACACATTATGGGTGCCCATGATCGATGTGAGGAATACTATTGTAAAAAAGGGCTTATAGTATATTGTTTCAAAGGCAGATGAAAAATATTAAAAATCCTAAGTCACAGATTTTTTTTATAAGCATTAGAGTCCAAAAATTAACAAAATATGGAAAAATCACGAAATTTAGCAAGTTATTTTGAGTTAAGAATTCGTAAAAATTTTTCTTTTTAAATCTAAGATTTTAAAATGTGATACAAGATTCCTTATAAAATTATCTACCTCTATCAAGAAATAAATGTCTATAAGAAAGTCAAATTAATTTTTTATGAGCGTTTGAAATTCAAATTTTTACAATATTGGATATTTACTCGATTTCTCATGTAGTGATTTCCTTATTTTGTTGTAATTCCAAAACGAAAGACTGTAGATACATGAAAATTTCACCGAATGTTTATATTAGCATTTTCCTTACACCATACAATTTTGAAAATATTTTGACTCTTTTTGAGCTGTTTACGGACATTTTCAGTTTTCAATTATTTTAGTTTTTTTTTCGGTTGGACCAAAAAGTGCTAATTGAATACAAGGACCCTGATATATTGATACAATATCAGTTGAAAAATATTAAAAATACATTGGCACAATTTTTTTTTTATAAGCATTTAAAGATCGAATTTTGACAAAATTTATCAAATTTAAAATTGAATAATTATTTTGTAGTTAAAAATGTATAAAATGTTCAACTTTTATATCTAAGAGATTAAAAATTTAAAATAAGATTCCACGTGAGTAGTTAATTCTGTTACCAAAAATCTAAAAAATACATACTCACAGTTTATTTTTATAGTCATTTTAAGTTCAAATTTGGATGAAATTACATAAAAAAAATCTAGAATAACTATTTTAGTTATTTCGTGCTGATTGTATAATATTATTCGTGGGTACTTGAAATTTCTAAAGTACACTATTATATATCTATGATTGTATCAGGGTTTGTTGTTGATGTATAACGCGTTATAACCTAATGGATATTGTGATATGATTAATTTGGAATTTATTATAGGTACCTATAATAGGTTAATTTTTTTTAATACCATAGATAAGTATACAATATGCCTTATACCTAGACTGACATACAGTCTCCGCTCAGAATCGTTTTTCTTATACAATGATGTTATATCATTGAATTCAAATTTAATACTATAAATTATACAGTGACCCACTTGTAACCTACTGTACAGCAGAACACCTTTTTTCCTTTAAATTGTGAATGTTTGATGCATTGAATGTGTCTCAGTGTCATTTGTTATTTGTTTATCATATTTTGAATTGGGTTCAACCAGTTTATATATTAATACATTATAAATAAATAAATGAATGAATAAATAAATAAATAAATAATCTGTAATATAGGAATGTACCTACTAATTAATTAAAAATAAATACAGTTCGTATTTGACTGCTTTATATAAACAATTGTGTTTCAGTTCATATAATTAGGGGTTTATTGTTTTAATTATTATAAGTCGAATTACGCTGTACCTATATACATTGATTACGCTGGTCACTTTATTCATCAGGCTTCCATTTATTCATAATATGTATCTAAGGTTTTTTTTTTTGTTATACTGAATTAAATTTCATATTTTGTTAGTCAACGTTAAAAAAAATAATTTTCTCGTTGAATTCTCTACAAGATTATAAAAATAATTATTTAAATTGTAATTTTTTTAAACAATTTTAGGATGTGAGATTTTTAGTTTGTGTAAAACACGGCGAGCAGAATAATAATAATATACGAAATATAAAATTCGATATGGGTATTATGAAAACTGTCTGTCACCAATATAATTGTTTTCGTACCGATTATTTATAAACGGCAAGCGGGCCGGTCGCGATAAGAAATCTGGTTTTGAACCATAGTGCGGTATGGCTACAGTCGAGCGCGGGGTAATTGTAGGAACACTATTTTTGAACGCTGCCGCTAGTGACAGTAGAGCAGCACATGGCGGCTGTAAAATCGTGTTTTTCTTACCAAAAACATGGTTTCGTCTTCCCATTTTCCTCAGCTCTCGTTAGTCTTAGAAACATGATTTTTTCACCAAAATAAACATGAGAAGTTTATCTAGGTTTTGTCGTTCCAGATTTTTGATATCTTTTTTTGTCTATTTTATATGATTTTTTAAAAATTTTGAAAATGTTGAAAATTTCAAATACAAATATAATTAGTTTGAAAAAAAAATTCAAAAATCTGGAACGACAAAACCTAGATAAACTTCTCACGTTTATTTTGGTGAAAAAATTATGTTTCTACGACTAACGAGAACTGAGGAAAATGGGAAGTACGAAACCATGTTTTTACGGCCGAATTTTCGTACCAGAACGGCCTCTAATTAATGTAGGCAAATTATGCCACATAGTTATTTCTGATCGTCTGTGGCGGCAGAAAAACACGATAGCTTATAATATAATAAATAATAATAGGTAGTATTATTGTTATACAATTTTTATTATAGCGTATTTCTGAGTACACTGTTTTAGAATACGATTATACGATTAATCATTAATCTATTTACCAAGATAATATATAATATATAAATATAATAGTTATATTGTGTATAATAATAATATATTATACTAGGTACGTCTAATAATAAAACTTTTATACCCTGTGAAATTACCTATGCACATACGGCCCTCAGACGAAGACTGTAGCAGTGCAGCTAGACCTACTTACATGATAATATATTATTATATTATAAAATATTAATTATAAGAATATAATATATTAGGCACTATTAATCATTATTAATATCAATTGTAGTACTGCAGAACTCAGAAAGTATACATAATAATATAAATATCTATATAGGTAGGTAGGTACTTTCGAGTTTATATTTTAGAATCCAGCGAACTAAGTAAAAAAAAAGAAGGCATAGCACATGACCGTGTATAATATGACATTCCCTTTAAATATGTGTTAGTATTTTGGTATTCTTTACCTATAGGCTACATTACCTAGGCTACAGGTCTAATAAATGGACCAAATCAGTAGAATGAGGTATCAGTGATCGATAAAATCACAGGCTACGTGCTTTTATAATTTTCAATGGAATTGGTTGAATAATATTTCAGTTATGATGGCTGCCGTATTGATAAATAATATTATTATAAACGCGCCATGGAAACGGCAATTTAAATTATAAGCTATTGAAATAAATAATAATATATAATATTTATATGATAATTTATAAAAACTAATAATATACCAACAAAAATACTATGTCAACTCCATGTAAAAAAAATTTAATTTAATTTAATTCTTCGTTTTGCGCACGGAGTAAACAATTACCC